GCTTTGTGTTGTTTAATTCAGAGTTGGCAAGAAGGCTTAAGGAAAAACAAGGATTGTCAGGAAGGTTTAAGGAAAACATACATAGAGCAGAGTTTAAACCTTGGCCTTGCCAATTTCTGACTGTGACTATGTGAGCAAAAGTTTTAACTCATCTGAGCTTCAGTTTATAAATTGGTAAAATGAGGATAAATCAAATTGACTGTATAGCATTTTGTGAGGACCAAAAAAGGCAATACAAGTAGTGTCTAAAATAATACTTGCCACATGGCAGGTGTTAGTCAAATGCTTTTTACCTTGTTTGTCTCTTCTTCTTCCCTTTCTTCCGCCCTTCCTTTTTTTTTTTTTCCTTCTTCCCCTCTCTTCCTTCCTCATATGTGATCTTCCATTTGCCCAGGGCTTCTTGTGTGATTCTAAATTATAGCATCTAGGGCTTGTATTAGGAAACCAAACCAGGGACCTAAGGTATGGTTTCCTGGCTCCAGAATTTTGAACATCAACCTAAAATTTTCCCATCACCCTTCAGCCTCTCTTCCTAGCCATGGGAAACTCCTCAGCAGAGATGAAGTTATTAGCTTAGTTCTTTAGGGATCATCTCTCTCTGAAACTTAGTGATCAATTTATTTTACCCCTGAGACTACACTTGTCATCTTTGGGCAAAATCACCAGCAAGCAAAAAAGTTTGACCTCTTCAGTAGATGCTCAATACATGCTTGATAAGGTGGAACTGTCATGACCATGTTCCAGGAGCTCAGGGAGTATGAGATACTGATTCTGTGAACTAGATGTTTTAGGAATCATGCTAATCAAATATATTAACATACATGGCTTCCAGAAAGGCAGCTAAGTGTCACATTAAGAGCTTGGGCTCTGAAATCATAATGGCTCTGCTCTGTGTCCTCCAACAAATTTCTTAAGCTCTTCAGGCTCAAGTTTTCCCATCTGTAAATGGTGAATAGTAAGGTGGTTTTGGAATAAGTTGGAAATGGCCCTCTGGGCTCTTAGCACAGAGTCTGTCAATACAGTAAGAGGAACAAATTGTGGCCAGTTCTCAGATGATCCGAAAACCACCTGATATGGGCTGAATTATGCCCTCAGATTCATATGTTGAAGCTCTAACCCCTGTTTCCTCAAAATGTGACTATATTTGGAGACAGGATTTGAAAAGAAGTAATGAGGTCGTATGGGTGGGCCTTAATCCCGTATGACTGGTGTTTTTGTAAGAAGAGGAGATTTGAGTAGACATGCAGAGGGAAGAGCGCCATGTAAAGACATGGAGAAAAAGACGGCATCTGCAAACCAGGGAGAGAGGAGATGCCTCAGAAGAAACTAACCTGCTGATACCTTGATTTCAGATTTCTAGCCTCCAGCATTGTAAAAAGATAAATGTTGGTTGCCGAAGCCCTGCAGTCTGTGGAACTTCGTTATTGCTGCCAAAGCTGGCTCATGCCCTGCCCCATGCTGAGACTGTTTCTTACTAGCCCTGTGATCCCAAGCAGGCCTGGCATTCAGGATAGGCTCCATCAAGGGGAGTTGAATGTAACCAACCAAATGTCCTGTTTTGGCCTTTCCTCCAATTTTTTTTTTTTTTTTTTTTTTCCTCTGCAGTGAACAATATTGCTAAGCCACAGACTGGCTTCCTGCTTCACTGTGCAGAAGCCTCTCGCTGGTGTCTCTTCAACACCAGTATCATAATTCATTCTCCTTGATTTGCTTCTGTATTTCCCAAGGACTCAAGTGGCCTGGGCTTTTGACTGTTTTCTCGGTGATTTGGCCACTTCTTTGTGGGAGTCTTCTGGTTTGCTAGAAACGAGGACTTTGTGGCTCCATTTATCTTCTTGGATTCCGACCCTTTGTTTGACTGACCGAGGTTTGTCACATGAGCCCTGTGTGTCCTCTGAGCTTCCATGGCTCCAGCGCTGTCTATGATTGACAGCAAGTCAAGTTACACACCCAAAAGTTAACCTTGGGTATAGTTAGCATAGCTGTGTCTGTGCTACTCATGAGGAAGTTAAGGTCTAGTCCAGGTCAGTGCCTGAAAAGCCACAATCAGGAATTTGGTTTGCTTCTCTGCAGCACCAAGACCTTTCCATTCCTACATATCGCCCTTCACTTTGCCTTTCTGCCTCTGGTCTTTTCTATGACCTCCAGAACCCACCAGATCACTCTAATAGATCATTCTGCATTCCCAGAACATGATTCCTTGTTTTGTGTCTATGACTCATCATATACCCATACCGGGCCCCCTACTGGCCAGCCCCAATCCAAGGAACCTCTGACCTATTGATACCTTAACCCAGAGAGTGGACAAAGAAGGGTAGCACAAGCTTACAAGCTCCAGGAGGCAGTTAAAACAGGATTACTTTGCTATTTCCTGGACACTGTGAGCTGCTCACACCTGTCTCTCCTGTGTAACAAGATTACTAGGATGCATACTAAAGGTCTGTAAGTGACAGAGAGGAATCTATGTCCTGGGAACTAAGAATTCTTAGGTGTCTTTGATCGAGAATGGCTAAGCCATGTGTCCTTTGCAACAACAAATTCCTCTTGGTGCGGCACACTCAATGCTGTGCATGAAGGTGACTCATACTGGTAAGACAAGGAATTAGAACTTGGGTACTTGAAATACCTCTGGCAGTATAAAAGTAGACCGGAACCAGGAAAGTACATTGGAGTCAGTAGGCAATTCAGAATGGGAAATCATTTGGGCAGTTGAAATTAGGAACTTGTATGGCAAAAGGAAGTATGCAACCTGGACATATTGTTTTACTAATTTTCTGAGAAGTCATTCATCACTTCTTGCTTCAGTTATCCTTTTTAAAATAAGAATAGTTTGGATCAGCCCGTCTCTAAATTCTCTTCTATTTCTAGAATGCTAATCTGTTTTACTTATTAAACACCAGTGTCAGAGCACATTAGCAGTCCCACGAACAGACACAGGATACAAGCAACACGAAGTACTTGACATCCAAGACCAACTTCTCTTCTGAAAGAGAAACTTCTCTATATGGTTTCTGCCAAGGCCAGAGCAGGCCAAAATCCAGGCGCAAGTGTAGGTTTTTGAGAACACCTTTAGGAGCAGAAGGTGACCCATGCCTAATCATTCAACAGTATCCTAGTAATTTCAGACTTATCAGACTTCACAGCAGTGAATCGGCAGTGCCTTTGAGATTTGGGGCTGAATTTAACTACATAAAACCCTGAATCATGGTTCTAGAATAACTTTAAAATAGATGATAGTTATATTCATGGAGGTTTCTGCCCATAGAATGGCAGGGGGAACTGGCTGTATGGGAAACAAAAACTCATTCTGAACCAGTCAGATGAAGTATAGCCACACAAGAAACAGTGAACCATCAGCTCAGGACACAGCAGCTGCCACCTACCACACCATTCCCACCTCCGGTGTTGGCTGGAGAGATCTCCCTTCCTAAATCACCCTTCTCAACCATCTCAGTGGCTCCAAAATCTAAGGCAGGACATTGCACAAGACAAAAGTATTTGTCACCCACACCCTTAGTATGCTCCTCCCAGGGCTTTTCAATTCCAACCATGTGTTGAATCAGATTAGATATATACTATCTCTCTCTGGACCAGCTATATAATTTGTCAGGCCTGACGCAAAATGAAATCATTGGGCCCCCTGTTCAGAAGTTAAGAATTTAAAGATGTTGCCAGTACAGCATTAGTCCAAGTACAGGTCCCTTGTAAGCACCGGGCTGTGTGTGACTGTGCAGGTTGTGTACCCATGGGGCTAACCCTGATCCTTTCCCCCTGTCTTCTCCTCCTCTGCTTTTCTGCTAAAGATGCCTATTCACTCAGGGTACTGGTTTAATTTCTGGGTGGTTCAACAAATCCACCCAAACCACTTGCATACATCATTCTTGTGCCGTCTTGTTATGAACCACAAACAACTTTACTGAAGTGAGGAAAAGGCATCAGAACAAATTTGACAATGTTCATTGGCTCCTGTTTTCCAGAGACAGGCAAACTTGGGATGCTGAGATCTTACTAGATATACTGAGTCCAAACCGGGGGTTCTTAATGAGGAGTGAGCTCAGGCTTACCTGAGATGTCCAGGGATTCTAAATCTGTAAATCTAATTTACACATGCTCTTGAAAAGTCTTCTCAGCAAAACAATGGTAAAGAAGCATTTGAAAATGATTCCATTTATTTGTTATTTTGTATGTATTATTACTTGTTTTATCATTTTTTGATTTTTTTGAGACATACATGCATATCCGTGTGTGTGTGTGTGTGTGTGTGTGTGTGTGTGTGTGTGTTCCTTTTGCCACCAGCTTGATGTTAGAATCTGTTTAGATGAACTTTTTTTTCCAAGTGTTTTAAACTTCAGTGTGGCTTGCAAGTTCTGTGTGGTAATGATTATCTACTTTGACTCAGGGTGAATTTATTTGTGGCTGGATCTAGTGGAGCTCACAAACTAATTATTGCAAACAACCAAGAAAAATAAAGAGAATGAGAAAATGCCACAAGTATTGACAATATTTATTGTAGCATATGGCTAATGTATAAAGACGTAATAGAACGATGTATCTCAGGGGATCATTCAAAAGGAAAATTACTTAAATTAACTTTTCAGGCAAACCGAATTATGCATTATACCCCTCCTGTAATGCTATACAAAGTCAATGTTTGTGAAGAGTAGAACTGGCGGCTATAAATCAAGCCTTTCAGAAGAACTGTTGTGTCTGCAGGGATTTTTTTTTTTCCTTTGCTTTTTTGGCATTTAGATGAATGAAGAATTTTCTCAGCAAATTATTAATTACTCCTTCTTGCCTATAGAATTGAGTTCACTGTAGTTATGTAGGAGTCAATGGTATTCAAACTGCAGCTTTTGATGAAGTAATCGGCTGCTTCTGGGGCCTCTTTCAGCTGCCCTGGGCGTGCTTCACATGTAAACGACTGCCAAATGGATTCTTTCGACATTCCAGCCAATTAAAATACATTTAAAGTGCAGCTGGTGGAGAGGCAAACCATGCGATTGTGCGGAGAACTTCAGGGCAGTGAGACAAAAAACAAACTTTGCAGAACCCAGCTCCTGCAACCCAGCAAGGCGTTCGTCCGGGGGCAGTGGAGAAAGTCATAAAAAGAGGCTATCTTTAGCTCCCGTCAGAATCAAAGATGACACTTTGAGCACCACCTTACAGGACACAAAAGAGGGAAGCATGTTTGTTAGGGTGTCAGTTTTCTCTCCTTGCCTCTTGAAACTGTGTGTTGGCTGGTTGCCCAATGTGGTGCCGCATGCAAATGTTGACAGAACACAGCGATGTTTGTTAAACCCGGCCTGGGGAAACCAGTGATTAAAACTCTTGAAGGAAGATCCGAAAACCCCAGGAACTCTCCTCAATAGCATTAGAACATTGATCGAATGAAAGAGAAAGCTATGAGTGGGCTAAAGTGAAACATTCAGCGTCCCTGTCTGCTGTGCCTTCTCGGTAAGGACAGAATTTTCTTTTCTTTTTTTTTTTTTTTTCATTGAATGTTGATGTTGGTGTAGAGAAAAGCACCCAATGTGTTAAGTGCTCTGGTCTAGAGCTCTGATTTGCAGAGTGCAGAGTTTGCCTGTGATTTTTCTGGAGGACATGAAGGGATCACACTCACTGTGTAAATAGACACGGGGCATTACACGGCACGTGGTGTCTGCGAGTGCTTTTCCAGAATTCAGGATGGTACATTTTAAAATGTTTGCCTTTGCTGACCTAGCCCAGTACTTGCTTCTGTGTATCCAGGTGTCTGGAGATTAATTCCTCTTAGGAACCAACAGTTAGGATGTATATGCCTGATTAATTTTTATTTTCATTTTCATGTTGTCTGGTTCATTCTGCAGCCAGCCCAACACTATGCATGTGAATAGTGTTGTTTTTTTTTTTTCTTTTTTTCCCTCTTCCTGGGTTAATACTCAGCCAGACCCAAGCATTCTGGTTCACTAAAGCAAAGCCAAAATATTTGGAAATGCCTTGCTTTATCCTGATTTTCACTGGGGAAGCTGCTAACTTGGGAATTCGCTCTGAATCAACTTTTTCTAATATTTTAAGGAGGCAGGTGCAGTTGCATGATTTCTGTGGTGCTGCAAGTTCAGTAAATACGCAGCTCTTGGGTCATACTCAGACGCCGATCTTAAATTCCTAAGAATGCTAAGTTAGAGGATGGCTGAGCAGGGGCATTGATTCCTACCCATCAATTGACCAGTGAAAGACATACCAGCTCCTGATTGTTTCCTATCTTAATTTGTCACGGTAGGCCCTTTCTGGCTTCAATTTTGTTCATTGCAAACAAAGAATCTTGCACATTTCACGGTGAAGGATCGCATTGCAGCGTCCTGAGTTCAGTTAAATGTGCTTTATTAATCTTTAATGTGCCAGTAGCTCTGAGGCTATGCCAAGCTGAGACTTTCCAAAATTCTCCAAGCTACCTGCTGCCAAGATAAACGGTAGTAGGCCCAGAAGGGGATATTTTAAGGAAACTTGCAACAGCAAAGTTTTACCCATTCAGTTTGTCCTGAGTCAATGAAAGAAACCTTAAATAAAAGAGATTTCAGAAAAAGCTGCCTCAGCTCTATACCCTCTGTGCGAGAGACCTACTGGGGAGAATCCACCTCCTTACACATACAGTGGTCTGTGCTCCAGAGGAGGGAATAGGCGTTCTGCTGTGTGCCTGGTGGGTTGTGTTTATGAAATGGGGGCTGTGTGACAGAGACACGTGTGAACGCAGAAAGCTTTCCTGTCTGTGGCTGTGTTTGAGCCCAGAGAAAAACAAGGCTACACATGTGATTTGCTGCCTGTCCAATGCAACTGTTTCAGACATAACAGCATCAGAGATGCATGGTGGCCACAGAGGTTCGTTTGGACAAAAGCACAGCTTTGCAGAAAAGAAAAATGTGATGGCACACCTCTGAAAATGGGGCAGTGGAGGTGACCTAATGACTCAGAGGACGATGTAAACCTGTGATTGATTGGCCAGGTCCTGGAGAACATAAGACTGTGACCTCGCGTAGGGCTCTGAGTGGCTCATCAGGTTAATGCAGAGTATATGGTGTCATCATCATTTTGGAGGGATACAGGTAAGAGACAAAAGGGACTCTGCCTTTGGACACAAGTCCTGTAAGCAGGAACTTCGCTTACCAAGATCGCTAAAAGAGGAGCATGGAATTAGAGCTTAGAGGAGTTCCAAGGTCCTTTCTGATTTTGAGTCAGTCACACAAAGACTTTATAAATATGGGCAGGCAGTAATGAGGGGATCAAGAGGGAAGGTTGGCATCAGTTAATCATGTGGTTTTGTTGGCTTTAAAGTCAAGTCCAGTCTCCTTCCTATGGCCTAGAACAGGGGTTGACAAACTACAGATCACAGGCCCAAATCTGCCACCGTGTGTTTTTTGTAAATAAAGTTTTACTGAAACACAGCCACACCCATTTGTTTACATTTTGTCTACGGCTGCTTTTGTGTCACCACAGCAGGGCTGAGTAGTTGCAACACAGAATCTATGGCTCTGAAAAACCTAAAACATTTACCACTGGGCTCTTTAGAGGAAAAGTTTGAGAGGCCAGACATATAGAACAATGCTTCTAAACTACCTATGATGAAGGACCTGTTTTGTGTTTTAAATTTCTAATTTATTATGCACTGATAGTTTCTTTAAATATAATAGAAATGTTGCATGAATGTTGTGGTGATGTCATATTGCTACAACACTTCTAAATATTTTTCTTAATTTTTGTACTTATCACAGATCGGCCACAAATAGCTTGCAGATTGTCACCAGTCTCTGGACCACACTTTGAGAAGTTCTGGTCCTTGCTTACTTTTCTAGCTTCATAGTGTGCTATTTGTCCCAAATTTCCAAAGATGCTGTCCTCTCTTATGAGTGAAATCAACAAATCCTGCCCCATCTTTGGGACTTTGCTGCTGATGTTTGCTTTACCTGGAAGTCTTTTTCCCTGATTCTTCTCTTAGCTCCTCCTTTCCTTTAGGTCTCTGTTTAAATTCATTTTTGTCAAAGGAGCCTTTTGAAAAAAGTCCATCTGAAAAATCTTTCCTCATCTTTCATCACTCTTTCTTCATGGTATTTACTGCAATCAATACTTAACTTGTTTATTTATTTGTTCATTTCTTTCTTATTTGTTTCTCTGTTTGTGTCAGGATTCAGTAACAACATAGTCTATTTCAGCTAGCTTAAGGAGAAAGGATTTGTGTACTGGTTTGAGCAGGTATTCCTCCTTATAGAAGAAAACGGGGAACAGGGAGAACTTACAACTATGTCTCTGTCACTATCACAAAGCTGGGACTCAGGAAGCTGATGGTCTCAGTCCATTTTTGTTGTTGTTGTTGCATATAACAGAAAAAATGCCCCGAAACTGGGTAATTTATAAAGAAAATAGATTGATTTATGAATTCATTACAGTTATGGAGTCTGGGAAGTCCAAGGTTGAGGGACCACCTCTGTCTCGCTGGTGGGACTCTGTAGAGTCCTGAGGTGGCCCAGGGCATCACACAGTGAGAAGCCTGAACGTGCAAGCTCAGCTCTCTTCCTCTTCTTATGAAACCACCAGTCCTACTTCTGTGATAATCCATTAATCCATTAACCAATTAATCCATTAATCCATGAATTGGTTGTTCCATTTATGAGGGCAGAACCTTCATAACTCAGTTACCTCTTAAATGTTCCACTTTGTAATACAGCCACCTTGAGGATTTTATTTCAACATGAGTTTTGGAGGGGACAGATATTCAAACCATTGCAACTAATGCTACCACCACTAGCTCTACGATCACATTGCCTCTGCTCTCATCTCCTCCACCAAAACAAGCATCTTTGTTTCTTGAAACAAGTGAAGCTAGAGATAGGATATTAGGGCCATTGCTATAGATGTTGCAAATTACCTGACACGTCTGGCAGGAACAGCAGAAACTGAGTACCTAGAACTCCTGATCTTCATTCTGACTTTCAAATCCAACTAATGGAAGTGTCCTGGATGAAATATGAATCACAACAAAGCTCAAGCTATGAGGGAGTTAGGGAAATACCTGGTTTAAAATCTTAGTTTTATGAGTCTCTAATGACAAAATGGAGTCTCTATTATCTGCCTGCATCCTCTACTTGAAAGTAATCTCTGTGAGGGTAGGGACCTTGTTCATCACCCTACACCAGTGCTGACATTAGTGCCTGCCACATGAAATATGCACAATAAATGTTGATGCTTTATTTATGCATTCATGAATGGAAGACACGCTTTCTTGAAGTCTGTGGTTTGTAATAAGGCAGCATGTAGTACACACAAGGGAGATTCATATATATGAGTTAGCCTGAGAAAGAGCTCTGAGGTGGGACATGGAGACTATTTACAGGCAACAATCTGACCTTTGAGACATACCTTGCTTTTCAGAACTGAAATATATTCATATAGCTGCAGTTAGTCAGCGTGCTCAGGAATGGGAGTATTCAGGTTACCAGCTAACACTATCATTTGCTGAGGGCTTATTATAAGCCCTGCACTACGCTATATGCTACACATGTATTATCCCATTTAATCTGCACAAAATTCTGATGCAGCAGGTATTACTTCTATTTGCAGAGAAGAAGTAGAGACTTTACATGATAAAGTGGCTTTACATGATAAAGTCACAGAGCTGGTGAGTGGTGGAGCCAGATTTAATACCATGATTTTCTGAAATCCATGTTTTAGTTCTTAACCTCCAGTTATAATCCCACATACAATTTATCTTTCTGGTTGTTGCACATTCACTGAGGAATCTTCTGTTTTGTTTACATCCTAGTGGCTGGTTAATCTATTGCATTAATCTACTTTGTGTGCAATCTATTTATCTGGACTGAGATATCTGTACAGGGCTCTGGATCATTGCTAAATGTTGCTGAATATCAACAGTGAATCTGTGGGTCTATAGATAAATGTCTAGAAGAGGTAGGAGAAAACTCATGCTGCAGTGATTAAGGGTAACAAGAAGGTATATACAAGGTAGTAATTATTCTGTTAGAATAAAAATCCTAGATAATAGAATATTTCTCTTATAATTGGACAACCCTTCACCATGCTGTATGTTTGGTTAAAATTTTTAAGTCTTTGATTTCTGTCAGGTTGAAATTCTATGTAACATTATAGTTATTAAACAGTGATACTTGGTAATAGCAGTGGCTTTGTGATAACAAAAGAATAAGTTGGAATTAATTTTATATTTTAAGTTTTAGAGGACTCAAAAAGATACCTCTGAAGAAAGAGGATCTGGCCAGAGGTGGGGCACCCAAGAAATATTACTTGACAACAATATACATGATAAAATAAACCACTTAAACCCCCATTTCTAGTTTCTAAGAATGCTAGGGGGAAGAAGTACTTCTGAAATGGTAGAGTAAGGACCTCTGAAAATCTGCTTCTCCAAAAGAGCAAGAAGACACTGACAAAAATAGCCAAAATCAATGTTT